AGAGGACCTAACCAGGCTGGGATTCAATGATTCTGAAAACTTCCCAAGCTCTGGGGCAAGGGAAAACTGCAGATGGATCCTGTTCCTGTGCACCACTCAGCAACAAGTGGAATCACACGCTAGGCAGGGGAGTTCCCACAAGGGGTCAGCATCTCTTCCAGATAGATGTTGCAGAGAAGATTTGAGACCCAACACTTCTTTCACTGCACTTCTTTCCACCCCACCCCACCCCAGCTCCCACCCCCTGCACACTCACCACCCAACCCACCAGGGACCTGCTGCCTCGAGATACTTCTATGCCCCAAAACGTGGCCATTTCTCACCCACGTAATGAATAATGTTAAGGAAAACCCAACCTATGTCTGCGATGAACTGCTGGAAGCAGGAAAGACACAACCACACCGTAACACGTGCCACAGGATGACCTATGCGCAGCCCAGCACAGGGCTGCCCCGGCCACCTCACCCTGCGCAATGCTGGAGTGGTTATTGTCTGTGTGGGTGTCTCTCTGTGTTGTCTGTGTGTCCCTGCTCCCAGCCTTACCAGCTGCTGGATGACCCTCTCCACCAGGGTGGTGAAGCTGATGTCGTCGCTGTCGCGGTTGTCGTACATGTACTTGACCAGTTTGGCGATGCTCTCCGTGTCCGTCTCCGACTCGAAGTCGTAGCCCTTGCTCTCCTGCAGGGACAGCACACGCTGGTCACAGCCCGCTGCCCCCTTCCCACCTTGTTTCTCCTGCCAGCCTTTGCTCATTTGCTTTTCCTTCCCTTTCCCTCATCCCTTTTGCCTCACGTTTTTCCTGATGCTCCTTTCTCCTACTTTTCCCTTCTTTCCTGCCTTTTGTTTTCTCCTTTTATTCCTCCTTTCCTCCCCCCCACCTTTAGCTTTTCTTCCCTTTTCTCATGTCTCTCCGTTCCTTAGCTCCTGCTTTCCTCCCTACCATTCCTTTTCCTTCTGCCTTTCTTTCCTTTTTTCCTTGCTTTTATCCTTCCAAACTGCGTTTCTTCCTCTTTTATTCCTTTTCCATCCTTCCCTCTTGCCTTTCCTTCTTCTTTTCTGACTTTCCTCTTCCTTTTTCTTCTCTTCCTTTTCTTTCTTGCCTCTTCCCTCCTCCATTTCCTCTTCCTTCTTTTTCCCTCCTGACTTTTCTCCTTATTTCCTGCCTTTCCTCCCCTCCTGCATTTCCTCTTCTGCCTTCTTCATTCCTGCCTTTTCCTTTCTCTTTCTCTTCCTTCCCTCTCTCCCTTTCCCTTGGACTCCTTTTCCTGCTTCTCATTTCCTGCCTTCTTCCCTACCCTTTCTTTTCTCAGTTCCTTCTTCCCTTCCTTTCCTTTATCTCTTTGCCTTCCTTTCCACTTCCTTTCCCTTTCACCCCTTCCCCTCTGGATGTTCCTCCTTTCCCTTCTCCTGCCCTCCCACTCCATGAGTGCGAGCGTGAGAGGGCGAGTACAGGAGTGAGTGTGAGGATCAGAGTGCATGTGAGTGGAAGAATAAGTGCAAGTGGAGGAGTGAGTGTGCAAGGGGGGGTGTGAGTGCACGTGAGTGCACGCAACAATAGTGCAAAAGGGAGAGGAGTACAGGAGTGAGTGTGTGAGCAAGGAAGGGAGGCAGTTCAAGTGGGCAACAGTGGGGGACATGAGTGGGGAGTGTGAATGGAGGAGGGCAAGTTGGGGTGCAAGGGATGGAGGGGAGTGCCAGTTGGGGACTGTGAGTAGGGTAGGGAGTGCGAATGTAAGAGTATGAGTGGGGGAATGCAGTGAGCGGGGAGGAATGTGAGTGGGAGTGAGTGGAGAAGTGTGTGAGGTGGGGAAGGATGCAAGGGTAAGAATGTACTCACAGTAGGAGAGAACGTGAGAGCATAGTGGAGGAGTGTGAGTAGGAGAGTGAGCGTGAGCACGAAAACATGAGGGGGAAGCATGAAGGGAGGAGCAAACGGGAGTGGGGGAGTGGGACAAGTGAGTGTGAGGACACAAGTGGGGGAGTGAGTGGGAAAGTGTGTGGGAGCCCAAGGGACTGGGGGGGTGAGTGTCACACACACGGTGTCACTCACCAGGAACTTGCGCAGGTCCTTGTAGTTGGTGATGATGCCGTTGTGGATGACGATGAACTCTGGGAAAGGAGGAAAGTCCCCGCTCAGTCCCCGCCGGGCACAGCAGGGGAGTTTCAGCCCCTGGTGCCATCCCCTTTGCTGCCCCATTTGGCCAGGCTGGCAAGGGCAGGAGGTAGCAATGACCCAGGTGGGACAAGGGCTACTGAGGTCCTGCCATGGTGCTGGAGCCACTCGAGTGCTCAGCAGTTGCCACACAACCTCTGGGCACTGATCCTGACCCTCCCTAGGACTGGTCACTGCTGCAAACACCCCATGGCCAGAAATAGAGTCCAAACCCTTCCAGCTTCACAGTAACTGGCAGCACAATCTGAATAAACCCACTGCCCCGTTACACACTGGGCATCAGAAGCTCTTCCAGATAAGGGGCTTTGGACAAGGGCCTGTAGGGACAGGACTAGGGGGAATGGCTTTAAGCTGCCAGAGGGGAGATTGAGATGAGCTCTGAGGCAGAAGCTCTTCCCTGGGAGGGTGCTGAGGCGCTGGCACAGGGTGCCCAGAGAAGCTGTGGCTGCCCCATCCCTGGCAGTGTTCAAGGCCAGGTTGGACACAGGGGCTTGGAGTAACCTGCTCTAGTGGAAGGGGTCCCTGCCTTGGGGCTGGAGGAGCTTTAAGGTCATTTCCAACCCAACCCATTCCATGATTCTATGATGTCCCAAGACCTGCTGAGGAGCACAGTGCCTGAAGCACCCTCTCACCATTGTTTTTATCCGAGCGCTGCGGGTGGCTGTTGATGGGACTGGGCTCGCCATGCGTGGCCCAGCGGGTATGGGCGATTCCAAGGTGCACGTCAAACTCGATGTCAAGGTCCATGTCCTGTTGCTCTGTGGGAGAAGTAGAGGGTTTTAGCACCAAGGGGGTGTCCCCAATGCCAAAGTCAAGGTGGGAGTTGCACCAGGACAGTGATGCTGATAGGGAAGCAGTCAACAATCCCAATGAAACACGAGGTGTGTGCTCAGGGGATCTGGACCATGGCTGCACCCGCAGCCTTCCTGCATTCCTCACCCCACCACAGTAAGAAATGACTTTTAAGGGAGAATCCAACCTTCCCTCTCTCTCTCATGGGCCATCCCATCACCTGCTGTATGCTGTGACTGAACCAGCCCATTTCACAGCCACATAACACTGTGACTAGAATAGTCATCACTTAACCTTGTCGCTAGAAAGCATTCCATTAGCATCAGTATCTTTGGGGAAATAAGTACTGCTTTTGTTCCACAAGTGTCACCACAGTACCTTTAAACTCTATATCCTGCAATCTGCCTGAGCAGGCAAACATTTCTTCAGAACTATTTGGTGTATCTTCTATTTCTGGAATGCACACACACATTGCCTGGCCTTTTCAGCTCCTGGTTTGCTCGACACTAAGATTAGAGCTACCCGCCTTCCCTCTGGATAAGAGCCCACTGCACCGGGAAGGACACTAGCACACGATAAGGAAAGGGAAGTTATAACACAGCAGCTGTCAAATGCAAACTAGAGGCCTTGATTCCTCTGAAGAGCATCTTCCCTTGCCCACACAGCTCACCTGAACTCTCCATCTAACAACCTTCATGTTGCGCATGGATTTAACAAACTTCTAAGAGCACTCCTCTTTTTTTCCCCCAGCTCCAGGTCTCTGATAACTGTATCCCAGTAATTCCCTTTCCCCCAGCTTAAGGAGCCTTTTGTTTGGGGTTTTTTAGGTGTTTCTAAAATGACTTTCAGGTCCACTTGACTTTAACAGGATGTGATTCATTAGTCTTGTGAAATCAGGACTTATCTGTAACTCCACGCCAATGTCCACAGGATCATTGGGTTCTTCACAGCACATGCACTTTATACACACATTATTTGGAAATACAGAGTTCCAGGGCAAAGCAGGTGATCTTCAAACCACAAAGGAGATGAGAGGGCATTCCAAGGCAAAGAATGGATGGGAGGTACATACTGTGAACCTCTTCGTCCAGAGCCTTCACTTTCCCCTTCTGTTTGATAAGCTGGATTTTGCAGGCATTAGCTTCCCAGTCTTTGTCATTTCCGCCATCAATTCCCACACCTAAACATCACCAGAGGATATGAAGAGAAAATGTGAATTACAGAAAGTGTATTTTACATAAATACTGTCCATATTTTTGTCTACAGTGCCCTTTCTCCCCACAGCTGACCCTCCAAAGAAAGGCAAAGAAACCCCTTTGATAAGCACTGAGTTTCCCTTTGTCATCTCCTGGGTATTTTTAAAGCCTCAGATTCTGGGCATCAAGGATATTCCTAGAATTGTATATACTGAAAGTGAATCCAAACCTCTGCCACATGATGGGAGGCACTTCCAATCTGGGTTTCACCAGAAACCACTCACAAACACACTACGAAAATCAGTGGTTACAAGGCAAGATTCAAACCAGAACGAGTGTTGCTTGGAGAGTGCTACCTGCAGAATCATAGCCTCTGTACTCCAGCCGCTGCAGCCCTTTGATAAGGGTCTCCAGGATCTCCCGCCTTGTCCGGGGAACATGGTAGTTCAGGTAAGCAAAGATTCCTGTATGGGGGAAAAGAACAACAGAGTCACACCTGAGGGAACTCTGTACGTGCTGTGTGCTGAGGAGGAGCACTGGGATACAGCTCCGACAGGCCTCGGCACTGAGAGCCCCTGCCTGAAGGTACCACCACGCTCACAGCACTTCCTGACCCCACCTGAGGTCCAGTAGAGGATGTCAGTGACATCCCCAACCCTGAAGAGATCACAGAATGGTTTGGGTTGGAAAGGGCCTTAAAGCTCCTCCAGTTCCAACCCCTGCCATGGGCAGGGACACCTTCCACTAGAGCAGGTTGCTCCAAGCCCCTGTGTCCAACCTGGCCTTGAACACTGCCAGGGATGGGGCAGCCACAGCTTCTCTGGGCACCCTGTGCCAGCGCCTCAGCACCCTCACAGGGAAGAGCTTCTGCCTTAGATCTAACCTAAATCTTCCCTATCCCCTGTTTAAACCCATCACCCCTTGTCCTGTCGCTACATCCCTGATGAAAAGCCTCTCTCCACATCCTTGTAGCCCCCTTCAGACACTGGAAGATCACCCAGTCCTACCCCACCTTGACTAAGGACTCCAGATGAAAAAGCCAAGGTTCACTAGCACTGAGCTTTGCATGCTGAAGAACCATCTCCAAAAGGAATTCTTCCTCAAATAACTTTCTCCAAGTTCCTCCCACAGACTCACTACGAAAAAAACCCATTTCCCTCATGCAAACTAACACCCTCGAACTAATGGAGCTCTTTTTCCTGTAGGTTGCAAAGGAAGATAAGTTGTTGCTGCTATTTTTAAGCAGGGATGGGACACACAGATTCCTAGAATCCTAACGCCAACTACGGCTCTGTTTCAGAAAGATTTCCTTTGGTGCCATCATGAAGCAGCAGCAGGAGAAGACATTTAGTGGATGTCAGAAATATCTGTACTGGAAATCTACCAATTCACCCTAATATTTTAAAGGGGTAAAGTGTCCACGTGGAATAAAAGCAGAAGAGGTTTCACACAAACATCTGTACATGGAAGTTGAAGGGAACAGAGCCCAGTCACACATACAAAGTCCTTTTAAAGGCATCCTAAACCTCTGATATGTTCCTGGTGGTATTGCCATGACCAAGGGACTATTTAGCCTGGGCAAGGACAAGGTTGCACATGGACAGGTACCACTCTGACACTCTCTCATTCCTTCTCCCTTTTCCATGCACTTTAGCTATGGATCTCAGGATGAGTTTGTCCTAAGCTTCACCAGCATCTCCCTCCAGTTCTTCTGCACTTACCTTCTTCCATGCTGCTAGAAAAATGAGATGCTCATTCTATTGTTCCTCTTTCTTAAACCACCCAGTCAGATGAAAGGAAAAAAAACCCAAACTGAGCTTTTCACTTGGTTTCTTTTAGCTTCTACCTTCATTTCCCCCAAAGCCTTTTCTAATCACCATTTGCAAGACTATCAGGACCACACTTACGAACATCTGCAGCTTCATTTCCATCACTCCTGACATCCCAACCACGCACAGAGCTTGGCTGCTGCCATCTCCCATGGCCCTCATTCAACCTGAACATTGGCTCCAGGAACTGCCCAGCAGGATGAGGTCCTTCTCCACAAACCTCTCACTTCACAGCTACTACTGTAGCTGGCTGCAGTTACCAACGTCTGCTGCATGTCACAAACCTCCTCTGAGGGATACTTCCAATGACCAAACCTTCCTCCCCACCCTTTTGGCACAAACGAGGTTTCCAATTTGAGCTACTTAGTTCAGTCTGTCTCTAAAACCTGCATTCTTCAGGCAAACAGCAGCCTCCTGTTTACAAGTGAGCTGACTCCAAAGAGCTGTCATCCAGGCCAAAGGATGCACGTCTCACCTATATCCCTGAAGCCTAAAATCCTTTACATGACTTCCAGGTCTTACCACAGCATGAGTGACTATGAACCATGAATGCTGCTTACATCTAGCTAAATGATTCCAGAGCTGGAACCTCTCTCTGTGTTTTATTTATACACTAAGGATCCCATTCCCACCCAAACCTCTTTCTGACAGTGCTGGGCTGAGCTGGGTCCATCCAAGAGCGCTCCAGAAGGACCAATAGTCTCTGCAGCTCCCTCAGGGGACTCCAGCTATCTCGCTGTGGCATATCCCATCCTGCTCAGGCACATGGATACCTACTAAGTTATTCCACAATCAGGACACGACAGCAAAGACTGCTCAAGTGGGAAACAGTGTTTGGAGCAAACAGGGACTGATGACCAGCATTAAGGAGGTTGAACATCAGGCTGGCCACAGGAAGACAGCTCCTGAAAGTCCTTCCCAGTGAACAGCAGCAGCACAAGGCACATGAGCCTCATTTAAACTGGATACTAGGAACAATTCCTTGCCCAGAGGGTGCTCAGGCATTGGAACAGGCTGCCCAGGGCAGAGCTGGAGTCACCGTCCCTGCAAGTGTTCCCAAACCATGTAGCTAAGGCCTCAGTGCCAGGGGTTAGTGGTGGCCTTGGCACTGCTGGGGAGCGGTTGGACTTGAGCTTAAAGGTCTTTTCCAACCTGGTTGATTCCATGATTGATGGGAGCAGAGAGGCACCTTCTTCACTTGCAGGGTGTTCCTCTGAGTGACTGGGGACCAAAACTGGCCCAGGCACAATTATGAGGCAGAAACTTGGTTTCTTTTCATAAAATCTTTCTGTAAATGTGAATAGACCATTTTAGTGTCCACCCTGCTCCTGGCACAAGGATTGCAACTTATTCTGAACCAATAAAACCAGCTTAAAACCAGAATGACCCCCTTTGACTTTGGACATCCTTGTGAAATGTGAACCCAAATCAGGCAGCACTTCAGTTCTTTTCTCTGTCCATTTTAACAAGTTCAGTCGCACCTGAACTAGGAAAAAAGAACCAGCAACCCAAGCCTTGATTCTTTGTCACAGATCACAAGTGCAGTGTACAACGAAATGCCATGGACTGAGCAGGCACAAAGTAGAAACCAGTGTCCTCCAGGAAGGGATGGGAAGCTGGAACAACAGTGCTGTTAAACTCTACTTGTGCTCTAAATACACTGCAAACATGTAGCTAGAAAGGAGCCAACTTGGCATTTGTCTCAGTTATTAACAGTTGTTATTAATTTGAACAAATTACTAATTACAGCACAATTATATTAAGATTATTCATGAGAATATGAAGCTAAGACTGACACAACCCTCCACACCCCCCAAACCAAGGAATTTGGTGCTTCAGAAAAGAGAGACTACATTAGGAAGCCGACTAAATAAAATGTAAATACAATATTAACACTTCAAATTAACACACACTTCAACAAAGATGACCAAGCAAGCACTGGGAGATTCAGGTTTGAGTCAGTTCAGTGCTTAGATGTTGAGAGGAAGATAGCTGGAGTGATAGTGGAGATGCCACAGGGAAAATCAAAGTGTAAGAACTCATTTCACAAACAGGAAAGCAAGTGAGACAAGAGGGTTCAGAGCTCACCTCAGAGAAAACGAGTCAAAAATAAACAGAATAATAGAGAAAAGTAAAAAAAATGGGATAATAGGGAAAAGTAATATATAATTAAAGTGAAAAATGGGACAAAAGGCTGCTGAAAATGAGCACAAGTCTTCCTGAACACACGACTTCCTAACCCCCAAGCTAAGATCAAAGACTTGAAGGCTTCTCACCCATTTATGACACTTGCTCATGATGAATTACGTGTAAATAAAGAGTTTCATTTACTGGAAATATTTTCAAATGCATTTAATCTTCCCCTTTTCAAACAAGCCACAACGATGTGATTCTTCATAGCCAGAGAAAGCTTCAATGCACATTTAGCAACCAGCATTTCTGCTGGCTTTCTATTGGGTTATTCAGGAATATATGAGCAGTCACATCTTGTAATCACTTCCATTTTTAAGTACCATTCCATTGCCCTCAACAGAAACTGAGAAAAGACAGACCCAAAGCATCAAACACTTGTTGTGCTTCACTGACCCAAGTGGTAGTTTGGAAAAACACTTATTTCTCTCCCAGCAGCCACCAACCAGGGGCTCGGCAGAGAAAACATTCCTCTGGAGTCACTCCTCAAGCCTTTGGTCTCACCTGAGTAGATGTGCAGCAGGGAAGGTGGCTGTGCTGAGCCAAAGGGCTCTCAGGTGATCCAGCCCTGCCCAATGCAAAGCCAGTTCAAGACAGAACCTATTTTTACTCAAAAGCTGAACAAAGGATTGCTCTTCATCCAGCTACAAAGCGTGGATGTAGCTCTCCGTGGTGTAACATGGCACACAGCAACTCTTCCTTGCAGTTTAAACAACACCAGACCTTTCCTCCACACACCAGAGACAGGTTGTGCATGTAACTCACAATGTTAAAGCCCTGTCTGCTCCATCCCCGTGCTTAAATTCATCTCTATCTCCAGGATTCCAAAGATGAAGAGGTATCAAGCACGAGAGCTGCCTGAAGGCTTCCGCTGGGAGCACTCTGACACAAAAGTGCCAATTTTTCTGTCAAAGTGACAATTCATTTAAATCACAACAGTCAATGGAAACATGTTGGTTTGGATGACATTCCAATGCAAATCTAGGAGATTCCCATCAGGGTCCCCATCTGGTGCAGCACCAAGCAGAACGCTCCTGAAACGGTGAACTTCAGGTCCCTAGGCAGACCTGAAAAGAGGAGTTTCAGTTTCAGCTCAACTTACCCATTTTAGACACCACTCCAGCAGGTCCTTCACAGCCCTGAGGAACCTCCACAAGCCTCCACTAAAACTGGCTCTTCTGCAACACCCCATGTCCAACAAATGGATATTAAACTAAAATGAAGGATAAAACCTCCTATGGCCCCTCATGACAAGGGTTAGTGGTGGACTTGGCAGTCCTGGAGGGTTTTCAGTAGTAACACCACACCTGCCCTCTGGAAGAAGCCAGAAAGAGGAAGTATCACAGAAAACCAGGATGTGTGAATGACATTTAATGACACTTCCTTGCCAAGCCTTGAGCTGGCACTGTCTGAGGTGAAATACCTGCTTTGTGAAACAAAATCCCAACCTTTGAGCTTCATTCTGGTCCAGCTCTGTTTGTAATTGTCAATTCCCAGCTGGAATAAGACTGCAGCAAGCCCACTACAGGAATTTCTATCTGACAGGCTCAGAAAACACAATACCTCTGTCTGGAACACACTCACATACTTCAGGACTTGACTCTCATATATATTCAGGACACTCAAATACTTCAGGATTAGAACAGCAGTCACGCTTTACAAGATAATAAAACATCTCAACTAGTAACTTGACACAGGACTTTGCACATAAGGACTCACAACTCTTATTCGAAGCATGCCAGCTTATCATTCAAGTCTTGATTAACACAACCCACCGTAGTAAGAAGTCCTACATAGATTTCTCTTAAGTGAAATACCTTGAACAAGACACTTTGGGACAGAAAACATTTCCTTTCTTGCGGGTTTGTCTTAAAAACCTGGTGAACCACCACCAGAACAGGCATTCAGCTGCTTGTGAAACTCAACTCTGTCTTAGAAACCTTTTAATATCCAAACACAAAACCTAGGCCTCCTTAATGACAGCTACAGAAAGAATTTCCTAGGAAGAGGTGAGATTTGAACAAACAGCATTTTTACCAAATGGACGTTCATAGTTTCTGTTGTTGACAGTCACCAAAAATACTTTTTCTGAGAACTTTATTTTCCTGTGAACTTTTTGGTGCTCATGTTCCTTTATTCCGTGGTGAGATCACAGGCAAATGAAATGAATCACCACTTCCAGGGAAGAAGAAATGATCTCTTCCAGTGTCTTGAAGACGTGGAGCTACTTAGGAATAGCTTCGCCTAATCCTTTTCCTACAGAAGCAGAGGAGCCTTGGGGCTAGGCTTAGTGATGGATTTACAGATTCCTTTATACCACACCATGCACTGTTCAAACCACCACAACAGACGATGTTATCAGTGCATCCACTTGGCAATTCCAAAGAATCCATTATCCTGCTGGTCATTATTAGGCCTCAAGCCTTCAACAAATTGGATGCAGGTTACTAAATACCACACAGGTAATACATGTTACAGACTGGGGAAAGCAATAAACACATGTTCTTCCAAGCTACAGCAGGGGAGACACCAGCAAACAGCAAGTTCTCATACAGATACTCATCATAGCTCAGAGCAAAGTCCCAGATTGATGCTCAAAACCTGCTGGAGAGGGCTCCTCTTCTTCGCTGCCCTGCATTTTGGAGAGGTGGACACTGTGCCAACCCCTGGGTACTGAAACAACCCCAAGTCCACATGGTTTGAAGGAGCACA